GATCTTTCCTGCGGTTGTTGTTAGAAGGGATACAGCTGCTTAAAGTTAACGAAGTATTTATATTATTAATTAAACTACGCATCAACTGTATTTTATTAGAGTCTACCCCTACCCTAAACCAATCCTCACAGTAATGTAAACATTTGATGTACAGTGTCGCAAAAATGATGCTATATTGACGTGAGTATTGTCAGCTGTATCCCATCTAAACTTCACTGCAGTACAGAAGAGGGTGAAATCTAGATGGGATACAGCTGAGGATACTCACATTATTATAACATAATTTTTATGACACTGTACAACACATAATATTTTTACATTACTGTGAGGGATGGGTTTAGGGTTAAAGTAGGGAAGATGCTAATAAAATACAATTAATGCGTAATTTATTGAATAATATAAATACTTCTCGCATTATAACTTCCGATCGCAGCTGTATACCTTCTAGCAACAACAACAGCACTCATTACCCATCAAATAACAAGTAATATGATCATTACTAAACTGTTTAAAATACAAAATATATGTTCTATCACATATTTGAGAATCGGAGGATCAGAAGTTTCACAATATAATTAGAGTATTTGTCAATATTTGCAGAAAAGGGAAAAAATACGATATATACATCGATCAATGAGCTGGTGGGTAATGTGATAAACTTGACGCGTCGCAATGGGAACTTTAGAACGCAATGGATTCTAAGTAACGGTCACAAACAAAAAACTCACACAGGAGGGTGAGATGGAATATTTAAAATTCACGCGTGAAAGGGTTAATTGATACAATAATTAAATTAATACACTTATTTAATAAAAACAAGCGTGTAAGAGTTTTCTTTGTACACGTTACATTAAAACTCTGGAGTGTCTTCTGCTTGCTTTGTTGACACCGCCTTCTGGCTGATTTATTTTAAATAAGCACTAGATGGCGTTGTTCTGGACGCTCTCGAAGCTTTAAATCTTTTCCCTAAGTAAGCTGAAAGCACCAGTGCTTCGAGGGAATTCATTTACCCATCCCTAGCAGACAGCAACAACAGGGGTAACCAAAAAAACTAAATCCAATAAAACAGGCAGAACACACTTCCAAAACCTATCCAAGATCAAAACACAGAAAAACAAAGACCAAAACTGGTAAATGCTTGAAAATGCACACTGTAACAGTTACACAGAACTGAGCAATTGTGTGTATGTGAGTGGTGTTTATATAGTGTGTAGTTAGTGTCAATGACCAGCAGTTGAATGTGTGTCAGTGTCCAGATTAGTATCAGCTGTGAGGCGCAAAACATGATGGGAAGTGTAGTCCGAGTTGATAATTCACTAGAGTGCCCTCTAGTGAGTCTGGTGGGTACTTCAGTTAATAGTTGTGACAGCTTCAGAAAAGCATTAAACAGTCTGTGTAAATGCACATTTTTCTGGTTTTATGCCGCTTTAGTTTTGGATTCTGTGGTGCATTTGCTGTGTAAAGATGCCTTAATCAGAAATAATTTTTATGAGGGGTTAAACACAATTACATGGCAACAGTGTGCAAATATAATAATTTCTATTCTATTAAGTCTTTAGAAACATTTTGATTCAAATTCTCTCTTTGTACGTGTCATCAGAGGGAGAAATCCCCACACATTAGTAATGCTCTCTCTCTCATAAACATAGACAGCCCTAAGTGAGAAGCAGTGGTCCATCATTATTCTTCTTTGTCATTTTCAGTTTTTCACATAGATATTTTTGTTCCTGTTGTGACTCTGCTGCTATACTGACACATAGTTGTTTGTAGCTCCGCCCCAGGGCCAGAGTGGGACTCCTTTTCAGCCCTGGAGTTTCAAGCCTTAGACCGGCCCACCTCAGTTCACGATTGACTATATTAAAATAACGTCATTTCGAATTCAGTTTCTAATGACACGATCACGTATTTTTCAAGAAAACAGCTGCTTTATAAGTTAAAATGTCCATGTTAATCTTTTTCTCCCCTTTCTAGATTTCTGATCAATTTATGTCAGATTTATTAATGTAGTGAATCATCTGATTTTCATTGAGCAGGTGTATTATTTATTAATATTAATTATTCGAATTCTTATATTCACTAAGGTGCCGCTGTTTGGGGTCGAATAATAGTTACGTCATCATTAACCTGCAGGCATTTTGCTCACGGGGCTGCGAGAAAATAAATAAAAAGCACGGAGCTGCGGCAAAATAATGAATAAAAAGAGTGAGACTATGGTCAAATAAATAAATAGATGAAAAAAGTGCGACTGCTGAGAGTGCAAGCAGCTATGGATACCGGCCCTCGCGGCCAAAAAACGGACCGGCCCACCGGGAATTCTCCCGGTCCTCCCGATTAGCCAATCCGGGCCTGCTCCGCCCCTTTTGGAAAAGAGCACAATCTCATTTGAATTTAAAGTTTTTTCAACTTACAAGACTTACAAAACTTCACATACACACTTTAGGGACATCAGATTTGTTTTACATCTTGTAAAAGGGCATATTAGGCCCTCTTTAAGACCTATATTAATAATAATTAAAACCTGTAATTAAAAATGGCTAAAGTGCGACAAAAGTAACACTTGAAAGTTAAAAAAATAGTTTACGAAAAGCCAAAAAGACCACAATCTCAAAACTGGCAGGCATCTAAAACAGAAAATGCATTGTTTTTGCCAGGATTGTCCCGTGTATTTAATCAGGGAACATCAAATGATCTTCTGCAATCTTGTTTAAGATGCAAGAGCACACTGTTTGTGTTGAAAGAGCTCATTGTGTGTGTGAGAGTGAGTGTTGAAGAGTTTTATCTGGAAGGTCAACAGAGGCCAGCACTCTCTGAAAGTCCGGACAATCCATCAGACTGAGAGCGAACTTTGAGTTGGTTTGGATTGTGAAATGATTTAGTTATTAGTCGGCTGTTAATCAACTATTTTCTATTCAAACTGTGAAACAATTTTCACTCAGAAACTGCTTTCGAATTTCATAGGCCCTGTTTAGGCACTGCCAGTTAAATGTGACCCAATTCGGATTTTTTGCTCATATGTGACACAGAAAAAACAAATGCATACAGTCGTATAATCAGAGATCGCTTTCAGGCCTCCTTCAGATGTGGAAATAAATCAGATCTAAATCGGATATGTGACAATGGGACTATCGTGTAAACAGGCAGATCGGATTTAGTGAGGCTTTCCGTTTTGTACGTCATTAAACTTGCAACAATGTGATACTTCTCCACGGTTTAATGACGTAGAAGGAAGAGCGTTTGTGGAGACGCCGATGAGGTAAACAGCAACATCAGTGGAAACATGGAGGAAAGTGGTCCATCAACGCAATTTGCTCTAACCAGACCTGAGATCACTCTCATACCCACAAATTCCTCTGAATGCTGGAGGACACCATATATAAACCATAAACGCAAGCTGTGATGACGCCCCTTTCCCTCCTCCTCATTTTTTCTGAGAGTGTATTGGCAGATTATTTTGCTCGTTTTAAGAGAAAAAACTTATTTAATTACATGATCCATTACCTCTATTAAAGCCTGTGGACTCATTTCCGCCTGGTGCTTTTGATGTTTTCTCCAGCCTGTAATAGTATAGAATTAAACACATGTGATGGTTAAGTTAGCCTGGCTGATTCTGCACTCAGGGATAATCAATGGAAATGACCTGAGCTGAGGAGGCGGTTCCTCTGAGAGCAGTTTGTGTGCCATTATTGGTGAGTGTGAATGTAATCATCAGCTGGACAGACTCTGATTCCTACGCAAACACGTACGTCATCGTCAAAATGATCTGCCGGGCCATCTGAGAGCGCTAGATGAGTCATATTTTGCAGCAACCTTCTGTTTACACAATTCTTGAGATTTGTTTTTTAAGACAGCTTAACTGTTTTAAGTTCAGTCTACTTCAATTTGTTAAGTGTCACTTTTCACTTTTTTCATCACTGTTACTTTATGCAATTTGTGATATTTTGCCTATTTATTGATTTTTTTTATTGATGATTTCGGTGTGACTTTTGGCTTGTTACTGAGATTTTATTTACATTTATAATTTTCTGCATTTTTTATTTTGCTGTAATATTTTGCTTATTTATAGTTTTATTAATTTTTCCGGTGTGACTTGGTTTGTTACTGGAATTTTTTGCACACTTATAATTTTCTGCATTTTTTGTTGGAATATTTTGCTCATTTTTGTTGTTTTTTATTGTTTTATTGATTATTTTAGTGTGACTTTTGGCTTGTGACTGGAATTTTGTGCACACTTATAATTTTCTGCATTTTGTTTGTAATATTTTGCTTATTTATTGTTGTTTTTTTATTGTTTTATTGTTTTATTGATTTTTGCGGTGTGACTTTTTGGCATGTTACTTGGTATTTATGCAAGCTTATAATTTTCTGCATTTCTTTTGTTGTAATATTTTGCTTATTTATTGTTTTTTTAATTGTTTTATTGATTGTTGCGGTCTGATTTTTGGCATTTCTGCTAGCTTATAATTTTCAGCACTTTTTGTTGTAATATTTAGCTTTTTTTTTTTCTTTTTTTATTGTTTTTTTTATTATTTTGGTGTAACTTTTGGCTTGTTACTGGCATTTTCTGCATGTTTCTAACTTTCTGCATTTTTGTTTTAATATTTGGCTTATGTATTGTTTTATTGTTTTAATGATTATTGTGCTGGGACTTTTGGCTTGTGACTGAGATTTTATGCAAGCTTTTAATTCTCAGCGTTTTTATTTGTTGTTGTATATCTTGTAGCGCTTTAAGTTTAAGAAAAGCGCATCAGAAAAAAAAAATTATTATTATTTTTTTATTATTATAATTATAAATTTCACTTAATTATTTTGTGTTGGGACAACCAGTTGGTTATATTTTGCATTGATTTTGTGCTACAACCTACAGTTTAATTATGAAGAATGAGCAGTTGCATCGAGAGAATTTAATGTGGTTTGTTGCATTGACTTTATTTTATTTTTTGGTATTTTTAAAGTAATTAAATGGTTTTCATGTGATGTTTTTGTCTTGTTTTGTTATTCAGGACTTTGCGTATGATGATCCAAAGTTGGAGTACAATGTGGATGCGCCGAATGGGCTGGTGATGGAGGGTTACCTGTTTAAAAGGGCCAGTAATGCCTTCAAAACGTGGAATAGGTGGGTTAAATCTGGCTAATGACAAAGTGGATATTCAACATTGGGTGAAGATTAATATCATTTAATGTGTTATGTGTTTAGTTTGTTTTATTTAGTTTTTATTTAATTATTTGTTATAGCTATTTATTGTTTATTTATTTATTTTCTTAAATTTTTAAAGTGTAAATGTCATTAACAGGATTTGTTAGACGTTGTTAAGCTCTGAATATTTACATGTGGGTTTTAATCAGACATATTAGTTACATCATGGTTGGGTTTTAGAGGTTTTGGAAAGTTTCTGGAACAATTGTTAACATATATATATATATATATATATATAATTATGTAGGAAACAATTTTTGTTTTATTTAATATTTCTTTATGTTTTAGTTATACTGATTTATTATTGTTATTAATGTATGTATGTATGTATCTATCTATTTTTGTTTGTTTATTTATTTATTGCTTATTTATTTATTTATTTTTAAGATTACCCTGATGACAGCAATCTAAAATTAAAATCTAGTCAAAATAACACACTTAATTAAATATTTATCATTGATGAACATATTTATTATTAAATGAACATATTCATAAATAATACTATAATATTTAATTCCAATATCAAACAAAAGTGTGCTAAATAATGTGTCTGTGCTCTTTGGATAAGAGATTCAAAAAGATAAACACCAAAATCATAAGCCCAATGCACCCGAAATGTAAGTAAAATATTTTTAAAAATACATTTTTTACTACTTTTTGAGTGCCTTTAACTTATGATTTTGTTGTTTGCTTTTTAACACATAATATTGTTTTAAATAACCATAATAATATAATTATGATATAATAATAATAATATAATTATTAGGTTATTTTACCAATGTTGAAACTTTTGTGATTTTTTATTAATAGTTTGAATTAGTTTGTAATATTATGTTTTTAATTGAAACTTTTTGGCTAAATATTTAGCTGTTTATCATTTTATGTATGTTCGGACACTTACATGATTTTAGTATTAGATGCTTTAGTATGTCAACTTGCACTAAATAAAAATGATACATATTTTAGTTTCTTTATAAAATAAAATAATTAATAAAATGTTTGTTTTCACTTTCTAATCTGCAATTGCCTCTCTGGATATACCACTAACTACTCAAAAAAAAAAAAAAAAAAAAAATTTACTAATACTTTCCTTCTTAGACTTTACAGACCTGAAACTTGCCTTTAGCACTTATTCATTGTTGCTCTTATAGTTGTGTAAATTGCTTCTTAGTCCTCATTTGTAAGTCGCTTTGGATAAAAGCGTCTGCTAAATGACTAAATGTATTTTATTTCATGTTTATTTTATTTATTTGTTTTTATTATTTTTATTTATTTATTTAATAGTTTTAGTCTTATAGTTTTACCTGATCACTCTATAATAAATAACATAATTTAGCACTTATAAAGTCAGCTTATTTAGATTCAGAAATTTATATTAAAAAAGAGCAATTAGTTACCAATTCTTTGTCTTATATCCCTGTATATCCCTTTTTTTTTCCAGGCGGTGGTTCTCCATTCAAAACAGCCAGTTAGTTTATCAGAAGAAACTAAAGGTGAGTTCAAAGCAACATTCAGCAACCAGACTCAGAAGTCAGAGTGGTATGGACTGGTTTAGTAATCTGCTTTAATTTTAAACAGTAGCTCCATTAGATATTGTACTGTAAACAGAGTCATGTTAACAGATGGATCAGCACAATTCCTGATGCTGAATCAATGACGGTGAGTCTTCAGCTCACTGAAAGCGTCTGCTACTGTAATCCTGGTTCAGCCAATTCAGTCTTTCTGAAGATAACAAACTCATTCCCTGACTAATCAATGCAGAAGCTCTTCATCTGCATTCAGTGCTTACTCAGACTGCTTGATGCAAGACACTGCAGGGTGGGAAAACCTTGTTTTGTCATGCATTTTAAATTCAAATGAATTTCGGTTTGGTTTCTTTGCCACTTTCAAATAAATAAAACAATTCACAAATAAAAAATAATAATAAAAAAATCACAAATTGCTTAAGTGTGAAAAAAGAAACTCGAAAGTGTGAAAAAATGTGGAAAAAAGTTTATAAAATGCAAAAAAGACCACTCTCTGAAAATCGACAGGTGTCTAAATAAAAAATGCAGCGTTTTTGTTAATTAATTGCTTTAATCTAAAGAAAATATGCTTTTAAAAGGCACAGTATGTCATTTTCTCTAATAGGGAGCGCATGTTCACAACAAATAAAGTCATAGTTTGATGATCAAGTCGTAGTTTGGAATCATGGAAGTTGGCATCTTCATAACTTAAAAACTATGTAAAAAAAAACAAAAAAACATTTTGAACCCGACTTCATCAATTGTTCACACATTTTCACATTGCTGAAAATTATGCAATTCATTTATATTTAAGGATATAATGCACTATTTGTGCATTCAAATAACATTTGACAAATGGTAACAATTTAGAATAATGGTCCATTAGTTAATGTTAGTTAATGTATTTACTAACTGTAAACAAAGTATGAATAATCTTCAAAATCGTTTATCAATCAAAGTTCAACATTAACTAATGGATTATTAATATCCTAACGTGTGCTTGTTAATATTAGTTAGTGTGCTGTGAATTAACAATGGCTAACGCTATTTAACTTAAATAACGTTGACAAACATGAATAAATACCGTTATGAATGCATTACTAATTGTTTGTTCATGTTAGTAAATACATTAACTAATGGACCATTATTCTTAAAGTGTTACAGAGAAAACTTGTAATACAAAAAAATTAGAAAATATTTGCCTTAGTATACAATTTTTGCGAAATGAAAAATGTGTTGCTTCGTATACATTTCGTTGCACGAAAAAATTCCACAAGAGGGCGCTGTCTACATTTTTTGCGAATCTGAAATATGTCACACTTTGTTGTATGTTTCGGATACACAATCTTCTTGCTCACGTCCACAAGAATGCAAAGCCTTGTTATACGTATCACCAATTAAGCCACTGACCTAAACCCAAAAAATAGTGTTTTTAAAAGCAAACATAAGAAAAAAGCGCACAACCATGTAGATTTACCTTGATTTTACATAGCTTTTTCCTCTTTTGTGCAACCGTGCTTTACCGGACTCAAACCCAAACGCTCTGGATCACAAGTACAACATCGCACAAAATAAGCAACCAAGCAAATTGACCACAAAAAAAAAGTTGGCACTTTTTTAGACTTGCCTATTTGTGAGACGTATGAATATTTTTTTGATCGGTTTTATATTTATGTTTCTGACTTGTTTTATTTTTATATGTATGTATAAATAATTTTAATCCTTTGCATAATTTTCTGTAATCATACACAAAATCAGTTTTTTCTGCTCCCATTGTATTTTTAAAGTGTAAAGCGCTTTGAGAATTAAGCTTTAAAGGAGCTATGCAAAATAAATTATTATTATTATAATTCTAAGGAGATTGTTGCGGCAAACATATTTGATTACAAATCTCAGACTCGGTTAAATAATTTTGTGGCATTTATTGGGTTTCTTGCCTGAAAGTAATGTTTTATTCCTCAAAAATATGTCCCTGTAAGTATTATTAGTGTGAAAAGGAACAAAAATGGGTGTCGTCATACTGACCCCTAGTGTTCATTTATATAGAAACGCCAGTCAAACTTATGTTTAGGTGCGTTTTTTTTTTATGTTTTGCACTTTCACAAAAATGTAGGCTAAAGCACATATTTCCGATGAGCCTGAATAAAGGCGAAAGGGGTTTATTTAGAGCATAGGTCTCAAACTGGATTCCCGGAGGGCCACAGCTCTGTACAGTTTTCCTCCAATCCTAATCAAACACAGCAGATCCAACTAATCAAGGTGTTCTAAACTAGAAACTGTTAAGCAGCTGTGAGTTGGAAGTGGTTGGAGATAAACTAAGCAGAGCTGCGGCCCTCCAGGAATTGAGTTTGAGACCACTGCTTTTGATTGTTTTCGTTGTAGTTTCAGCATTATTAATGTGTCTTCATCATTCTCAGGACTCTCTGACTGTCGTTGTGGAGGATTTAAGACTGTGTTCCGTCAAACCATGTGAAGACATCGAGAGGAGATTCTGTTTTGAAGTCGTGTCGCCCACCAAGTGAGTCCTGTCCAGGAAAAGCTGGCGTTTTAGGTTTTAGATTTCCACAAGAAGACTTTTAATGAGTGTTTTTGAGCTGCTCGTCTAGTATTCATTGTGTGGATGTGTATTGTAGGAGCTGTATGCTGCAGGCAGAGTCTGAGAAACTCCGGCAGGCCTGGATTCAAGCTGTTCAAGCCAGTATTGCCTCAGCATACAGAGAGAGTCCAGACAACTACTATATTGAGGTTTGTAGAATTTGCATGATACAAATCTATTTAAAGAAGAAGTAGTAGATGTTTGGTTAAATAAGAACATTGTAAAAAAATCATCGAATAAGTTAATTAGTAATAATATTACGTTATATTGTTGTAAAAGAAAACCCTATTCCAGGATTTGCTCTTTAAAATGTTGGTGATTAGCAAGTACAAGATGTTTCTTTGTTGTAAATTGTGAAATTTACCAGCAGTATCTGAGGGAAATTAATGTTTATATACTTCTTCTTTAGTGAATATTCAAGGAAAATGCTGTGCAATAAAACAGCAAAAAAAATACTATTTTAATATTTAAAAAAAATTTCTTAATTTGACCAAAATTATTATTTTTTAATTATGATAATAATATTCATTATTTTTATTAATTTTTGTTGCTTTTGTTAACAATTCTTGTATAAGGGGTATAATGTAAACATTACCGTCATTGACAATGTTATTATGCAGTTTTTCCTAAATAGTTTTTGCCATAAATAAATATAGAATTACAAGAACGCTTGTTTAGTATAAATCTAAATCAATATTAATATAATGATAAAATATGAATATTTGTATAATTGATATATTTTTAAATAGCAATTATAATTCATTGTATTATTTATGACTGTTGTTGTTATTAATAATTAATTATTGATATTATTATTATGCTTATTTGTAAATTATAATAATGATAAGTCCTAAATTAATAATAACAAATTAATAATATTAATATAAATCATACAATAATAAAAATAATAAGATAAAATTGTGTACAGAATTTAATATAAACAATTGTCACGATCACCAGCGATCTAACATCTAGAGATCGCTGGCAAACACTCACTCGAACTACAGATCCTCCATTTCATGGACTACATATTCAATCATGCAACACACACACACACACACACACACACACACACACACACACACACACAGACACACACACACACACACACCTGCTACAAGTCTCCACTGTTTAGACTCCCACAGCTGATGCTGCTTCTGGGCTGATTAATGCACTACATAAGCAGCACAAACACACACTATGTTGCTGAGTCTTGGTAGCTATATAGTGAGGATTACGACGCGGTTTCCCTTGTCCTGATTTCCGTGTTTGACCTTGCCTTGTTGTGTTTGATTATCCCTGTATTCCGCCTGCCTTTTGACTACTTGCTTGCTTCGACTACGACTCTGGATTGCCCATGTACATCAGTTTGTTCCTGTTTTGACCACTGCTTGTTCGACCATCCTATCAATAAAGACCTGCATAAGGATCCTCATTACATTGTCAGCATCACATCACTGTATTACATTATTGTCGTTGACAATGTTATTATGCATGTATTTGTATTTATGCTAAATAGTTTTGTCATAAACAGTGTAGAATATATATAAGAATGCTTGTTTTATATAAATCTGAATAAATAATAATATTTGCATAATTCATGTATTTAAAAAATGTATAATTAGTGGTATTATTTGTGTCTATTATTGTTATTAATTATTAAATATTATAGTTATTATTATTATTATTATTATTGTTTTGATTATTATATTTATGATAAATCATGATAATAATAATAATCATCATCATCATAATAATTATAATAATAATATCCAATTTTATAAAGGATATTAATAAAGGATGTCATTGACAATGTAATTATGCAGTATTTATGCTAAATTGTTTTGCAAAAAAATTGGATAATTATAAGAACGCTTGTTAATATATATATATATAT